AAACTGAAATCAATCTCTAAATAAAACTACTAAACGCATTTTTAGAAATAATTCAAAAATGAAACTAAAAACGTTTTCATTTTCATTTTCGTACAGAAAATAAAAACGTTTTGGAACCAATTCCAAACGCACCCATAGGGTTATATTTTTTTAAAATTCGAATTTAAATAGGCCTAACCCGCAATTTGCGGGTTGGGCCGCGGGCCGGGCAACATTTCACCCGATTCACGTTTTCTCCAAAAACTCCCTGATGCCCTAACCCCATTTCTTGCTCGACCACCGAGCTCTAGCCATTGACCATCGACGCCATGGCTTTGAAGCTCCCAAACCAACTCCGAGCTCTCTACGCATCCACCACCCGTCACCGGCTTCTCTCTCCTCGATTCCCGAACCCTAACCAAGCTTTCCGAGACCTCCTTCTCGGTTTCAATGGCAGACTCTTCTCGGATGCCCCATCTCCTCCCCAAGTTTCTTTTTCTCCGTCGACTTCAGTTCCTCCGCCTTCTGGTCCAAACACTTCAGCTCCGTTGTCGTTGAATTAGAAAGAGCTAGCTAAGTTCTTTGCCATTGCCGAAACCTGGTGAGCTCGCCATTGCCGACAACTTTTTCTCCCTTTCTCAAACTCAGGTACCTTTTGAGTTTGAGATGCAAAAAATTTAATCCCCAGATTTTTATTTTTCGTTTTTTTTTTTTCAATTACTGGCTTGGTGGGGTTTTCTCTAGTTTTGGCCTCAGAATGCTTTTTGGTTTTCTAGGTATTGACTTGATCATAGAATTTATGCATTCACTGCGTGTTTGCTCGCTGGATTGGTTTGTATGTTCCTGGTATGAGTTTCTGAGCACTTCTATTTTACTTATTCAAGCAATTGGGTAACTTTATATATATATATATATATATATGTTGAATTTTGTTTTAATCCAAAATTTAGAGTTTAGCATCTTATGCAAATTGCAATTTCTGAGTAACTAATCATGAAAAGCTACAAAGTTTATACAAAATCCACGAACCATTGAGTATGAAAATTTTGTTTATTTCCCTATAAATAGCCCGGTTAAATTATTCTTACATAGAGCATTTGATCATGGAGTGTTTTTGGTTTAGAGCTTCTAGTTATTTTATAGTCTTCTGAGAACAAAATTGTGGCTTTTTTTTTATTGCCAAGAAAGAATTAGTCCTACTGAAGATCAAGAGAAAGGAGTAATTATATGTTACTTTTCTATAATTACTCCTTTCTCGGGAGAGTTAAGATAGATTTGGATTCATCATTTTATAGTTTTCAGGCTTAGAAAGGTGATGTTAAAATGGATTGTTGATGCAGTTGTAGCCTTATAACTTTCTTTCACTTCCTTCGCAGTCAATGATTGTTAAAAGAGGTATGAAGTCATAGATTAAAATTAGTTTTCACCTACCCGAGTGACCCGAGCCTACCTGAGTTCACCCGAAAGGTTGCGGGTTTGTAGACTTAAGAGAGTGTTGCGGCCCAAAGTTTTCTCAACCCGCACTGATCGGGTCGGCTCAATTTTTCTGCTCAACCTGACCTTACCCGGCCGATTTACACCCCTATTTGGAACTGAGAAAAAAATAATGATAAAATTTTTTAGGAAATTTTATAATGTAAAACTAGGATTTTATTTTCCTAAAAAAATAATGAGGAAAATCAAAATTCAAAATTTACTCTTTAAATCTCTTATCTCTCATTTCACATTCTCATCTTTTTTAGGGTGATTGGTATGAGAATTCGTGCCATGATTTGTGGCTCGCTATAGTATTTTTTCTCACAAAAAATACACGTAAATTGAGAATAATTCTAAATTATAATTCTCAATTTATAAACTAAATATGCACTCTATCTCTCATTTCACACTCTCTCACCCCTCACTCAATCTCTCTCTCTTTCTCTCTCTCCTCACCACATATCTCTCTCACTTCCTCTTCCTCTCCCCTTTCTCTCCTCAACGGATATCTCTCTCTTCCTCTCTCTCCTCAACCAATGGCCATGTTTAGAATTGATTCTATTTTTGTTTTTCACGTTTTTTGAGAAAAAAAAATGAAAACGTTTTTAAAACGACGTTTGGCACAATAAAGACAAAAAACGAAAATGAAAACGATTTTTTAGTTTAGTGTAAAATAAGAGAGAAATGAAAAA